TTCCATTGCTCCGCACTTGTTTCTGATTTCACTCGGGCATAACAGCTTGTACTTTAATAACATCTCGTTTAGATCCCGTTTATTTCCTCCTTTATTGTAGCTATTAAGGAAAGTGAAATGAACGCAATTGTGTTTTCTGTCCTATTTTCCACAGCATCCCTTCTGGATTGCAACTGTTGTGTAGAATAATCATGCCACCCGCGCCAGTCATCTATCCAGACCGCTGGCTTAGCTGCTGAATAACAGCGCAAACCATTAGTGATCATAGGTTTGGACACTGATGGACGCGCACTATTGACGAGTCCTGATCGGAAGACAATGACTGTCTAGTGCTTTTTCAGGTATGTGGAGGCCAATGTGATTTAGACGTTGCTCTAGAGAACTCTCAATTAGTTATGTATTGCCGTTGTCCATATGATGTGACACTGCCAATTACGTTGTTGTTGGTCAGGTATGTGTACGTAAGAGAAGGAGCAGTTATGGAAAGGAGTATAGCTAGTCCCGTCAGTTTTTTAACAATATGGTCTGTATACTGTACATAACGTGCACGTGAATCCGAGAGTTGCTGCGTAATGGACCGGTTCCACTTAGATTCCAAATTTTGTATACGCGTAACATGTTGGTATAGCAGTCTCAGTCGGCCAAATTACGTTCCCGGTGCGTAACACTTAGGCGACTGTGTACGTGAGCCAAACGTTGTGAATGCATGCAATGGGAAATTAAGATGATCCCTCAGGCTCGTTATGGAGGTGGTCTAGTTTTATTGATACACTTGGAACAGTGGTTTAATACGTGTGAAAAAGCTGTAGCATAACAGGTCCTGCAGGATGATCATGGTGAAACTCGAAATATAGGAAAAATTGTCAGCAAATTAAGGTTCACAGCGGTGGACTGACCACGGTATCCATAAGTATAAATCAACTGTAAATCAAAGTATGTTCGATAAAACACATGTGTATTTTGATGTACTCATGAGTAGGGGATTTTTGATGTAATTAAATGAGGTTCTTCGCAGCCAGTTTCCAAATCAGATAGTCGTTCACATGCCCGGAAAAGCACTAGACTACAGTTTCAGCCTGTTGGGCATCGTCAGTAGTGCGCATCCATTGGAAACTGGCTGCGAAGAACCACAATTACATCAAAAACCCCCCTAATCATGAGTACATCAAAATATACCTGACCTGACAGTTTCTAAATGCTATGTTGTACAAGGCTACTGTTAGTGGACGTCGTGTCTTTCGGGGCCATCCTGTCCTCTGCAACGTTCGTAACTTGCATGGCAGTGGAGGATAAGACGCGCTATATCGCAGTTAGCTTGTAAATCATGACGGTCTGGAGCTGTCCCCCGTGGCCCAGTGGCATAAGCTGTTGACTGGCGGTTCAAACCGCTGGTGATCATGAGTTCGAATCCTGATGGATCCGATGGATGGGAACCGAAGGCAGTTGATCGGCGTACATGGCGTGATCCGATCACGAAGGCAGTGGCAAAGGTGCAGGAGTAAGACCTCATACATGCAGAAAAGAAGCGGCAAGTGCGGAAGCGCCGATGGGTTGTACTCCATCGACATCGGGCGCATGATGCCGTAGCAGATGCGGTCGCGAGTGCCTGAGTCAGGCAGGCCTAGTGAGCCATGAGGGAAGCCACTCGGGACCACCAACGAAGCGATGACGGGTCTTACAGAGAACGTAGGCAGAACCGGCGCAGCGTTTTTAGCTACGCTGCATTCGATTTACTAACCGCGTGCTTGCATGCCAAGTCTCTTTATTTTAGGTGGTGGGTTTGCAAAGATAATCTTTGCATACGTGAAGCGACGCCTGAAGCCGGCAGGTGATGTGCCAGTGCTGGATGGCCCGGACGGACAGCCCCTAACCTTCAGCACTGAGCATGCGTTCGCGTAGCACTTCGCTTCTGTATTTGCGAATGACTAGGTGTCTGTTACGATTTCGACGTGTACCGCTTTTACCGAACTCGACAGTCTGGGTTGCGGCGTTGAAGAGGTACGTCAACTACTCGCAAGCCTTGATGGCACCAAACCTGCGAGACCTGATGGGCTTCACTCACTGGTTCTCAAGTCACTTTCGACCATCATCTCTCCTGTCGTGACTGACTTTTCAACAGGTCGCTGTCCGAAGGTTCGTTGCCGATTGACTGGAAATGTTCGGTGGTGAAGCCTATTCCGAAAGGCGGCAACCCTAGCAAAGTAGACACCTACAGGTCAATTTGTCTGACACCTATTTTGGCAAAGGTTGCTGAGAAAATCGTGAAGAAGGGATTGCTGCAGCTGCTACAGTCAAACGAGGTCCTGACGCCCGCACAGCTTTATGTAAGGACGCTCATGCTTTATAAAATTGCTTGTGACGAGGCATGAGTGGTTGCAAGCAATCAGGAAGCGGAAGTCCGCCGACGTGCCATTCATCGATTTCAGTAAAGCGTTCGACAAGTTCAGCCATGAGGTTCTCCTACAAAAACTCAGGATGTGTGGTGTCTGTGGATCACTGCAGCGGTGGATCCGAGACTTTCTTGCTGGACGAAAGTACAGGATACAGGTCGACGAACATCTGACTGACTGGTATCCCTCTACAAGTGGCGTGCCTCAAAGCACTGTGCTGGGGCCCAGTCTGTTCCTGATCCACATCAATGATCTACCTCAGCTCCTCCGGTCGTCGTGTGCCTTGTTTGCGGACGACATGAAGATGTGGAGAGAAATTGACGCTCCCGTCGACTGTGGCCTGCTTCAGCAAGGCCTCAACCGCCTGTCCACATGGTCTGCAGAAGTTACTCTCCCGGTCAACCCAGCCAAGTCTGTATTCATGAGCCTGGGGAAGGATGCTAACGGCCGAACCTACACCCTTGACGGCCAACCGGTATATCCCACACCCTCCGTGAAGGATCTAGGTGTACTCTCGCGCTACGATTTGAAGTCCGTGGACAACACGAACAGGTTATATGGTAACGGACTGCGCATGCTTTGGGGGCTCAAACGTAGATTCGGCACATGGTCTGAAGAGGTTGCCACGCCTCTTCTCTTCCATCATTAGGCCAATGCTAGAGAACGGTCCGCCCGCCTACTTTCCGATTACCCGAGGCGACGCACAAAAGATCGAACAGGTCCAACAAGCTGCTACCAGACTCATCCCGAGTTTACGTGGCTTCGGGCATGAACACTGGTGCGAGAAACTAGGACTCCACACCTTGTCCTACGTCGGGTACGAGTCGACCTCATTATGACCTACCGTATTCTACATCTCGGTGACTTCACCATGCTGTGGCAAATGCTGCATTTACAAGGGCCATGCAGCACATGCGGAAACAGATGGAAACTTGTCGTGACGGATGCGAAACGTGTTCTCCACCCACTGTGCTTTGAACAGAGAATCGTAAATATTTGGAACAGTGATGAGGGCAACATTTGTGCAGCAGTTGAAAAAGTTGTTAGATTTGTATTTTACCATTATTCGATTAAGAGAAGGGTTGCACAATTACGATGACATGTCACATTTGTGAGTCCTGCAATACCGTGAATCAAATCTTTTAAATGTTAAATGAGAATAATAACGATATTCACGGCTGACAACTTTTATAACGGTTTTCACTGTATTCTGGAAGAGTTGTAGAGAATTCATTTCTACTTGCGCTAAAATACAGTATTAATTTCTACCTGAGCTATCTTCTATAAACTTGCACACGTCGCTTAAGCTAATTGTAATTAACTTCGATAACATTTTCGCGTTTGTGGCATTTTCTTACAATATATTTTCTGACGTCTTGAACTTATCGCGGATTCGTTCGTAACCAATTTATTTCATACGCTCATTTAGTGAAGAGTTATGTCACGGTATCTGTGTGCATTATCCGATGTATTTTATTTCATCTTGTCGTTTCAAGTGATTGTCTGTTGCTTGATATCCCCGATGTGGCTGCGCTTGATGTGCATGTAGACAAGGTGCCTACCTGTCTATTATCCACTACCTCGTCCATACGGGTTCCAGGAAACAGTTAATCGTCGCTGGAGGGGACGGCGTGCACGGTCCGTGTGGCCGTGTTGGGCTCGAAGAGAGGTTCCATGCACTCAGTGTGGAGCGGACTACGGTCCAGCCACCGCATTGTGTGCGCTTGATTCCCCAAATACAGCGTGCTTGTGTTTGCCTGTGTAGGAGCGTGGGCCGGCTCCGTTGATGAAACGTGGCTCCCATTCACATGCCTGCCGGTCTTATTCCTTCGGGTTTATACTGGATATAGGGTGTGTGATGGGAGCTATGGGTGATGCAGCGCAAGCCACCCATGGTCCTTCTGTAGGCCCCGGCGTCCTGTGGCTGGCAACACAGAAACAGGCGAATCCGAAACCGGATCCCGCTAACTATGTGAGGAGAGGTGTCGCATAAGAGTAAGGGACCGGATTCAGTTTACGTCCGAGCGGTGAACTGCGTGTACACAGTTGGACCATACTCGAATGAAAGAGGTATGCTGGACTTCAAAGTTGGATGTACAGGGTGTGTCCATGATTGATGGCGGGATTCCCAGTCGTCACATGTAGCCATTGTAAGCACCGCACCCGTGAGACTGTTTTTCGCTGCAGAGTAGATGGAGTGCACATTTTTCGTGACAGCGCTGGGCTAAAGTAGTGGTTGTAGATAGGACGGGCTGTTGACCAACCACCATCCTGTGTATGATTGGCATGTATGCACCCTCATTTGTCACAATATTGATGTGAATGTTGAAGGAATGTGCGCAAACTTCAAGTCAATTGTGGTTCCAATCTCCATGTATTCTGTTCTTTTTCGCTCGGGTTTATATTGGATAGGGAATATGTGCGTGGTACAGAACAGGCCACTCATAGTCGCTCAGTAGGCAATGGAGATCTGCGTGCAGAAACGGATACCGCTAGCAACCTGTTTCCGATGGGGTCGGAACGCACAAACGGCTAACAGATGGTTCTCGAAAATAATTTGCTAAGAGTTTTAACGCACTCGGAGATAGGTCTTACATTTTAACGAGAAAGAGCGACTCACTACAGCGTTTTTAGTTCGACTACCATTTCGCAGCACAGTGTTGTGAGGGGAAGACAAACAAAGAAATGTGACCGGAAATCTAGTGCAGCGTTCAGCACCATGACAGGCTGTTACTGAGACAAAAAAGGATGCGTATATGGATACAACATTTCTGATACAAAAAACAAACGATAAAACAGAATATGAGGATCGATACACTAGACTAGTACGTAAACGTGGCGCTCAGCACGATGTTGAGCAACGAAGAGTAAATGTCGTAGCTGAGAGATGACAGAATCATACACGGAGTTGTTGGACAACAAACTGGGCTCGCTGAGAGGAAAGTGCGAGGGCCTAGGATATGGCCACATCATCGAGTGTCCCGGTTGCAAATTTCTCATGTGTCAATCACTTAAGATGTGTTTCATCCGGATCCACCGCATCCGCCTCAGACGGTACGGCAAAACTATATTTCTTTTGTAGGTGGTACCTCATCGCAACTGGAGAAGGTGGGAATAATTTCTGCTGGATCACTCTGCAAACGGTTATAATATTACCGGCGGCTTGGACGAAATAGATAATTGCAACTGCCAAGACCTGAAAGCAAAAAAACTGCTTAATAGAGGAGAACAGGATTGCATATTGTGAAAAAAGTTGTAAAATGTACCTCAAATCGTGTAACAAGGCAATGCCGATCTCGTAGGTGCGTGCTGCGAAAATTGTCCCAACTGCGGACACTTAGTTTAAGGTTAAAGTCAAACGAAGCGAATATATCGACCCGGAAAACGTCAACCAAGGACAGACGTCAGAAGGTCTCCGCGGGACCTAATGTGATAGGGCTTATGAGGAGGAACGATAAATTCAGAGGGGCTGGCAGATATGAGTCGATAACCGGTTCACTATTTAACTGATACACCGTGTGATAGCGTTGCAAATATAGATGGCGCGTGGCGGATACTATAAAACGGATACCTACAAAGTGTAGTAAGGAACAAGACACTGTGATCTGTCTAAGCTGTAAGCGAATGAATCCGGCACTTCGACAGAGCTCATATGGTTAGATAGCGGTAGCAACATCGCTGTGCTGTTTTATAGCAACCTGGCATGGACCACACGGTGATATCTATCAAATACACGCGATAAGTGTTATTACCAGTGATTAGACAAATTGTAAACGTTTATGGCTAGTCTTTTGAGTTAAACAGGTTGCCCAGCTCGAGTGTATTTGAGAAGACCCGTTGGACACCCAAAAGGCAGCATGATTGAAGACATGTGAACAATCGAAGTGACAAAACAAGAGTCGAGGAAAAGGTAGGGCGTACTACTTGTGTACACGATCATCCAGGTCACTTAAAGCGACACAGGAACACGTTGACCAAGGCGTTACAGTAGGAGAAGCGATCGTACCTGCCATTCGTTACAGTACGGTTGACGAGAGATGCAGTATAACCGGTAAGCGTTGTACAGATCGAGGGCATACGCGGTAAAGAGGAAAGGAAGTGTGAACGTCAGGCGCCGGAACATCCACGACATGAAACCATCTAATGGAAAAAAGGTAAAACGAAACGTGATACTCAGTTCGAAGCAGATAAGCGCAGTAATAAAGGCCGACAAACACGGGAGGACTGTTAAGTGATAGAATGAAGCGCGCAGGGTTGTAAGAGAGAAACTCAGTGACCATCTATTGACGTCAAGTGATTAGCAGAGGTATGTGAATGCGTGTGATCCAGAACACTTCGCTGCCAAGGTAAGATTTTCACATGAGCCACTGCACGTGATGATTGGAAGAAATGAAAAGTACAATCAGGACAATAGAAGTGGCAAGTAAACACGTGAAAAAGGAAATTGCGGAAGCATCCCACCTTGAACGTAGGTCAAATGGGAGAAGAAATATGCATTTCAAGAAGTACAGGCGTACAAAAAGTCAATAGTGCTGCAAATGCAGTGGATATAACACAGCTCGTAGATTCATAGATAATGTGATAGTGAGTATCCATGGACAGCACATGTGGAGATACCGCCAACGGATGTGGTTTCATGACGCAAACCGACTTGTGGATGGTGCAGCGAAGACGAACCAAAAGAGAGGGTTATGAAAATCAAGTTGAAACATCAGTAACCACAAGGGAGTAAAAGATGAATTAGGCAATGGCTGGTGCAAGAAAATTCAGTGCTCTGAGGAGCAAGAGGACACAACTTATGTGATTCGACAAACCAACCATCAGAGCCGAATTCATCTTATGGAGCAGTCTAAACATCTGGATCTTGCGGCAAGTCGGTCAGCAAGAAACGCTTGCTCTGAATTCGAAAAAAATTATGTGCGCCAAACTTCTGAAGATCATACACAGAATAAAAAAGGGTGACACACTATGGAGCGACAATGCGATACGCTTGCGGAGAACTCGGGTGAAGGGATGGTGTCATCGAAGAGCAATCCATGCAAAAGCGTTATAGTCAATAGAACACACATGAGTTGTTGCTAAGGTTGCATCTGAATCGATCGAAAACGAGTACTAATTTAAAGAAGAAAATGGAAACTGATGAATTTCAGTGAAAAACCCACGGATATCAAACGAGCAGATGACCATAACAAAATATACCAGAATGACCTTTTTACTGCACGCCCGTTTCTCATTTACGACAGGGAGAAGAGGAGAGTATTAATGAGCTTCATTATTAAGGAACAATACCAGAAATCAGTTCAGGGTGAAGAATTCTTTTCGATAAACTCTCATCGAACCTAAACGTTATATAACACTGATTTTGGGAAGTGTAGTGTACCGGAGAACATGCTCTTTCAGTATTTGCAACATTGGATTTTACGGTTGTTTTAACCTCAAGAAGTACACTTGTTTTACTGACGGCACATCCGTTGATACAAATCGTTTTGGTGAGTACCTTACTGCACCGTTTCTCGCTCTGGTTGATTCGCTTCCTACTTTTGTAGCCTGCACAATATACGTTGGGTTCAGTCGCTTCCAACTTCTATACTCTCCCGTATTTGACACGGCTCTTATGTGTCATTGATTACCGGCTAGTATCCCAGGCTCCACCCAACAAATTGGTGACCCTGGTCTAAACATGCTGTCCGAAGCCACTTGTAGAATGTATGAGGCTGTGCTGACTCAGAGTATATAGGGTGGACCAGAGAGGATAGTGTTGCAATAAATACTGTTAACTCGACCTGCTGAACAAGTTCCTGTGAATGCCTGGAGCCACTACTCAGATCGACGGTAACTCTCGTGCAGCATCTCTCATCATAAGGCCGGTCCCAAAAAGATGTGCGCTGGCACAACTGCAGGTAAAATACTATACCGATCTCCTGCAATATTGGATCCTAGCAGACCGATGCGCCATTCCTAGCACCTAAAATACTAGGTACAAATTCTCAAAAATATACTCGCATATAACGAGCTCTAAAAGGATAGCCACGTGAAATTGACATCCAAAAGTCAGCTCATGCACTAATCATCATCGGCATCACCACCATTATACACGTTAGCTAGAGGTGGGAAACACCTCAGCTACTGTGCCGCAATACATAGAAGAAAAAAGGAGAAAAAATGCAACTGGTGCAAGCCAGCTGAGCTACTAGCAACGGATGGGAATCGTTCCGGAAAGCTACCAACCAGCTAATATGCAGCAAAAAATATTTACTGTGCAAAATTACATAAGGCTAAATAGTGAGATCGTGGTTGGAGGGGAAGGCTAAAAGGGATGGGTGGGATAAAGAAACTCGCAACACGACCGCCACTGAGGTCGACTCCTTGCCATTTCAGCAAGTGTATCCAGCCAAACGTGTTCATCGTCTTCCGGCCCCCAACCACGGAGCCGAGATGCTCCAACCGAGGCCAGCTTCGAAGTAAGGCCCTTCATTCCTCTCGACCAAGTCATCGCTTGGCCACCCCTCCTCTTCTTCCATCCACACCCCCGGCGCGCAAACAACGCACGTAGCGAGAGTCGGTGGGCTGGCATGCGTAACACGTGGCCAAGCCATTGGAGCCTGATGCGTGAAAGAACGGTGCTGAGCGGTTCATTTCCTTTACCTGTGGCGTAAACAAAGCGTCGAACACGCTCATTGCGAACTCGGTGTTCCCACCAGATGTGAGCCAAATTGCGAAGGCACCGATGGTCGAACGTAAGTAGCCTCTTTATGTCCGCTGATCTAAGGGGCCAGGTTTCACAACCGTACAGTAGGGTCGAACGTACCGCTGCATTGTACACTCTACCCTTCAGGTCAAGAGTGATGTTGCGCCGGCGCCATAAGTGACGAAGTCTAGCAAAAGCGCCTCGAGCTTTTACTATACGGTTCGTGATCTCAACTTCAATCACAAAGGCGCTGATACAACCTCCCAGCTAGTTGAATTTTTGAACGATTTCTAGCCGATCCTCACCAAAGGCCAGCGTAGGAGGCGGTCCCTGCCAAAGTTGGAGGAACGCTTTGCAATTCATGGGTGCAAAGTAAAGCCCGAAGTGACGGATAGCCAGTGCTAATCTGTCCAGTGCCGCTTGGCACCTTTGTGAGCTGTCACAGATTAGGGCAATATCATCAGCATACTCTAAGTCAAGAAGTCGTTCTCCTGGGAGCAGATCCACACCTTCCAAGTAGCGTTCTGTGAACGCGATTTTCATTACTTCGTCAATAGCGAAGTTGAAGAGGAAAGGTGACAGCGGGCATCCTTGTCTCACACCGCTGGAGATATTAAAGGACGACGACAGCTTGCCGTAAGCCCTCACTCTGCCCCAGCTACGCGCGTATAATGATCGGATAATATTTACATATTTCTCAGGTACACCTTTCCTGAATAGACAGTCCCAAAGTGCACGTCTATCTACAGAATCAAATGCACCTTTACTACCGAGGAGCACGACAACACTGGGCCGCCAATATATGTGACGGTGCTCCAACAACTGACGCAAAGTGAAGAGGTGGTTAATGCAGCCACAACCTCGACGAAATCCAGCTTACTCTTCATGAATTTGGCTTTCACGAATGCCAGTCAGTCTGTGAAGGATGACAGAAGAAAGCAATTTGGAGGCGATGGAGAGCAGACTGATTCCACTGCGGCTGCCGCATTCCGATGTTGAGCCTCCCTTGATAATTGGGACTATGACGGAGCGGCTCCAGTCGGTTGGGATAGTTTCCTGCTCCCACAGTTTCACTAGTAACTCGTATAAATCATTCACAAGAGCAGAAACCCCGAATTTGAAGAGGGCTGGAGGAAGATTATCTGGTCCCGCGGCTTTATTCAACCTCAACAGTCCGATCACACGTTCGACTTCTGAGCGAGAGGGTAGCTCCGAAGGGACTGCCCAGGGAGCGGGGCGATCACTGACCGGTGAGAAATCTAACCATTCCGACCGAGTAAATTGTCTTTCAAAATGCTCAGCTCAACGCTCTAAGCGTTTTGATAAGTTTTGGATAGGCTGTCCACTGTCGACATAAATTGTTTCACTAACACCAGTCCTCCTGCTGCCGGTTTCCCGTATCAGACGGAATAACTTTCGATGGTTACCAAGGGCAGGAGCCACTTCCATCTCTAACGCACAAAGAGATCACCAGGATTCACGGTCTCTCTTCAGGCTAGCACGGAGTTTTGCCCGGAGCTCTTTGCGAGTTTCACTGTGTTCGCGTCCACCCGGAATATGCCGGCAAGCACCGATAAGTTCCAGAGACTGTGAAGAGACCCAATGTCCATGTTGGCGATTAGACTCACCACATGAGGATTTTCCTGCTGCTAGTAAGGTCTGGTAAATATGAAACCAGCTCGCTTCAATTGCATCCAGTGAGAGCTTACTCAACTCGCATGACAGCATACTTTGATAGGCATTCAGAACAGCTGGCGTCGCCAGTTGGGTGGTGTCAATGCGCTCACAACTTCGTCGTGGGCATCCGCCAAAACGCATCCGCACGTCAGCACATACAAGTGCATGATCGGTGTCCACACATGTGCTCCAAATCGAACGACAGTTCTGGACGCAGCCTCTCCATCGGTAGCTTATCGCAATGTGATCGATTTGAGTCAAAGGCTGGTGGGCGCCAAGTCACTCTCCGACGGGTGCTCTGTCGGAAATTAGTGCTCGCAAGAAATAAGCAAGCATCTTCACATAAAAGAAGTAAACGCTCACCGTTATCATTACGGGAGCCTACACAATGTTGGCCACCCAGATGCAGTTCATCGGTGGATACTTTTCCATCTAGAGCGGTCAGATCCCAAGCCAGCACAACAGTGTCCGAGCTTCTCCTGTGGCGAAGGAGCTCGTTCAGTTGGCGATAGAAGTCGTCGTTTACAGAATCATGGTTACAGTTTGTGGGTGCACATGCAGCGATGTCGAATAGACACCTGTTAGTCCCGTGCGGTTCGAAGCTTTGAACGAGCCTGCGAATCGGACCGCACACATCCGACTACTGATTGGAATCCAATCAACCAGAACAGCTTCAGCCCGGGGACTCAGGGCAATACCAACACCGGCTTGGCCGGTGCTCGAAGCTGCATCATCACCGGATAGGCGCAATGAGAAAGTGCTGCTGGTGTCACCT